TACAATTTAACTTTTTATTCCATTACAAAACGAAGTTATTTTTTCTCTCTCCTCTTTCTTGTTGGGTATGGTTATCTTCAAATTTTCAATTTTTTCCTAAAGTTATCAGGAGTGGGAAGAACATGACCCAGTACATAGCACACCTTGAGGACAGTGGCCCCCCAGATGCTCATTTGAAGCCCTTCATGGACGTATTTGTTGTCTTTAATCGAGGACACTGCAGTTGTGTATGGGATAACTGGATTGTTCATCTTTGAAACAGTGGGAATAGACTGAAGATTGTACACCCTGGGAAGCCCAGGGATGGAGTGAAGGAAATCAGTTTGTTTGCACAGCAGCTGTTCCAGAAAAACAGCCTCCAGCCATGGCAACGGCACCTACGGGTCAGGTTGCTGCTGCCTACAGCTGATCAAACCAGTACAAGCCAATTGGGAATCTGCTCTTAAAAACTAAGCTCAAGGAGTCCAGAACCTCAGAGTTAGGAGGTCAGTCACATTAATGAGAATGTTCTGTGGTTGCATGGGCTGAGGTAGCTCTCACCTGTTCTGAAGCTTGATTAGCCTTTACTTGGATTCTATGAGATATCATCGTAATTTTGCAATGGTTTTCTTGCACACCATATTGATACAGAGGGTCACATATTCCTAGAAACTCTGTGTGCCGTGAGTGTATGAAAGAATTCTATGTAGTCAAGTGTACAATTCTAGGTTCTCAAGTGTACAATCTATAATATGTGCTGAAGATAAAAATCTCCTGATTTCCCATCATCACAAAGTTACCATCCTGGTTGTTTGGATCCCAGTCTTTGGAAATAAGTTTTCTAATTTTGAGTATGGTGATTGCCCTCAGTGAAAAGTAGGCTTCCTGAAGTTTTAAAATTCACTCTGATTCCCAAAATAAATTCACCCAGGAGAGTCAGGTTTTTTCATAATTTTGTTCAAAATTACAAATTTCATATACCCAAAGACTTGCCTTTAGTGGGCACATAATTCAGATCCCAAGACAGCACGGATCAAAACATTATCACTAAATTATTAAGGGCTAGACTTGCACTGACCACAGGTACTGTTCTCCTTACCCTCACCCTGTCTGTATCACATCCAACTGCCATTGTGGAAACCCTGCAGATTTCAGAATAGTCAGGACAGGAAGCACTGTGGACTTCAGGAATGACCAGACCAATAGGTAGCTTAGCTCCTATGACACCAACATTTCTTTATCGACCAAGCATATATGCTGCCAACAAGCTTATTGGATCATTGCACCATGTTTTGGTTTCCTTTGTATTGTTATGGTGGCATGTTGCTTTCAGTCAACCATATATAGGAGCAACAAAAAACTCTTCTAGGGGGGAAAAAAACTTTTGACCATTTTCCTCAACAGGACTACAAAAATTATCTTTAAATTCATATGGGGGCACTTGGGTTTGTTTTTTTAATAGCCCATACAACCAGCTTCTGGTAGAAGCTTTCTAGGTACAAAAATGACCATCTTATCTGCAAAGAGAGACAAAATGGTGATAACCAGTTCTTGGCAAACATCTCCCATCTGGGAAGCTCTCTTCTTCCAGGTCTCATGGGAACACATGAGATGAGGAAACCCAAGGAGTCTGTGGCCTGAGCTTTTCAATTCTACCAAGTAGGTGAGCAACTCACAAGGTGTGGCCAAAGGACAGCAGCACCCACATCACCTGGGACCTGGCTAAACTACAGGTACTCAGGTTCCACCACACCTACGGGATCAGAAGCCCTGAGGGTGGCCAAGCCATCTATGTTGTCACTGACACTCCAAGGGGTTCTGGTGATGCAGGCTCAAATTTGAGGGGCTGAGGAAGGCTGTTCAGATGGGGTGGAGAGGGGCTACAGAAGATGGCATCCTAGACAAGTCTCTATAGCACACCATATTTACAAGTTACACCAATTTGTAACTTGTTTCTCTTCTAATTTCAAAAGAAAACAATTCTTATGGGTGTATAATATACAGTAAAAAAAAAAACAAAAACAAAAAACCTTGGGGGGAAAACACCCAATTTTCTGGTGTGCACACGTTATCCTAAGAACATATTAACTGAGAAAAGAATTCCAAAATTGAAATTCCTAGAGAAGAACTGAAGCATTCTCAGTCATTCCTGCAACCAAACCATTGTTAATGTCCTATTTCCATTCTTATTTTTTAATCATAATGTTTTGCAGAGAACATGATTATATCCGTTAGGTGGATAAGCTCTCTGGCTCTTCTCAGGACAATGGCTTCCTGTTTTGGTGCTGCTTTGAGCAATTGCTCCACTTGGGAAGAAGGATAAGGGCAAGCATTCCATTTTGGTGTTGCCCCACCCTTAATCGTATCCGGACCAACTGCTATATCTGGGAAGGAGGAAATGCTTTATCAATCTGGGAATTTCCCAGCCCAGGCATGATAGAATTTACAAAGTGACCTAGACAACCCTGAGAGTAATTAATATGCCATTAGCTTGAATATGTATCGTGCCTCACACCCCACCCCGTGGGCCTTTTACAGAGAGCTATATACAAAGATGGAATTTTGAGGACACTTGTTGATCATTTGATAACATCCTAAACCTCCCAAGAGCCCTCCTCCAGACTGGGCTAATAAAAGGAAGCAATCTGAGAAGTCAGTGAGTAGTGAATGGGTAAGTGAGTGAGTGAGCTGGTCTGTCTCTCTCCCCTGACAGAGACAGACCTGTTATATTCAACAATAAAGAGCGTTTCTTGTGAAATTTCTCCCTGCCTCAGGTTACTCCATCGTATTGGCTGCTTGCTGATTTTCCCAAGAAAGGAGTCAGAGGATCAGAATAATAGTCTAGACTTGATACTTTGGTGTGTCTGCTCATTCTTGGCTGAGAACATGCCAAGAACATGCCAAGAACTGACAGCGGACTTCCACCCTGACATCTTTGCTGCTGAAACCTGGGATTCTGACATATCCTTTGAAAATTAAAAAGACACAGGTATTATTTTTAAATGCTTTATTGCACATTTCTTTTTCACTTTTCATTAGCATTGTGAATTTTTAACATGCATAATATTTTACAGCAGTAGGATATATGTATACAAATACACTGCAGCTCTGTGCTCACATTTTCTGAGAGGGGGTGTCACAAAGGGGAAGGAGTCTGCATCTCAACATTCAGCAGGCTCTTCTGGGGCTTAGTTCGTGGTCAGCGACAACCACGTGCAATGCTTCTCTGGGCCTGCTACATAGGGAGAAAGGAGGCCAAAACTCATGCATCCCACCCAGCCTCACTTTCCTGCTGTTCTCTGTGAAATGGAGAAGAGAATAATGGTCCCTAATCTGCCACTGAGAAGCTGTGGCCCTTAGGAAAGTCCCTTCCCTACTCTGAGCCCCCCACCTCCCCGAGGCTCTGAGCGGCAGAGACAGGCTGGAACTGTGGCTGGGGTGTGTGTGTGCAAAGCTTTGCACAGCGAGGCAGACAGGCTGGGGTGCGCGTCAGCACCTGCTCTCCCGCTGTGCTGGCCTGTTTTCCAAACTGCCATGGTATGTTTCACAGCCCAGCTAAGTGGGGGACACCAGGACTGCGCTGGAGCCCCTGGTTCCACCTTTTGCTGGCAGCATGGCCTTGGCAAGGACCCCCCCCCCATGTCCTCTACTTTTCTCTTCTGGCACATGGCATTGATAGTCATAGTTATTTCATAGGGCTATGCTGACCATTACATGGCAACATTAGCGAGGGTATAACACTGTGCCTGACACAAGCAATCAGTGCTGTACGAGATCAGGAAAGGGTGAGCCTCAGGGCTCAGGGTTTGGACGGGAGCAGGGGTCACAATGAGCTACTACAGGGAGCATGAGAGAGGCCCCTAGGTCTCCGGACATACCTAGGTTTGGACAAAAGTCAGCCCTGCACTTTGTTTTCAGCGGGAGAAAATCCATCACACTACATGCCTAAGATATTGGCACTATATGTTGGTTGTATTGTTCTCTCCAAAGGGGTTTGTGTGTTTGTTCTCCAGTAGGACTGGAGAATGAGAAAAAATTCTTGGGACATATTCAGACCTGTGTACATTGAGATGGGGTCCAAGCCTGTATCTCTGAGGAGAAAAGGGGGACCCATCTAACATTGGGGGTACACGTAGAACCAAGAGAAATCGCACCAGGTGTGGGGTACGTGCGTGTGCATGTCTGTGAGCACACACATACTGAGGTGCTGGAGGAAGAAAACAGCAAGGCCCAGAGAAGGGCAGAAGGATCCAGAGGCCCGAGGGACCTGTGGTTGAAGGGCTACTTCTGTTCCCTCCCCATGCCCAGGGACTCTTTCACCAACATTTCAAAAGCACACACAACCCTGTGCCGAGCCTAAGAGGCAGTGACCCTTGTGTGTCCCCTTCGTCTTCCCACTACTCTGAACTGCTGGAACCGAGGGAAACTGGGCGGGCTGGGCGTTCTCAGGGAAGAAGCGCTCATGCCCTAGGGGACACCTAGCACACCCAGGCCTTGCACTGGGACTAGGGCTTCCATCCCAGTGCTACTGGCCACAAACCTACTAAGGGCCTGCTCTGCCCCTGCCTCCCCTCACCACCTGCCCTCCATCTCCCGGCCTGGAGAGCTCCCCTGTGGGGCACTCAGTGGCTCAGGACCAACTGTCTCTTCAGCAAAGGTGATCACTCTCCTCAGTCCTTCAGGCGTCCCTCTTGCTAGCATGCCCCTTGGAATTGCAGGTGAAACCCGGGCTTGACGCCAAGAGGAAAACCCCCAGGTAAGGGACAGTCAGACCAGCCTTGGGGTGAGGGCAAGAGAGTCACAACATCAGGAACTTAGGCACACAGACCCCACCAGGCTCTCCTGTCCCCGTGACACTCCTGGATGCAGGTAGAGCCTCGTATCACCTGCAGGTGCCTGCTCAAGCCTCCTTTTGAAGGTAATTCCAGCAGCTGCTGTAGCAACCCTGTGCTCTGAAGGGCGTGCCAGGGCCACCATGGAGGTGACACTGTGTGTGGGGAGGAAGGAGGGAGTCAGCTCTATCTTTGTCACCTGGGTCCCAGGGCAAGAGCACTCCCTCTGGCTCCAGCTGCCCCTGCCACTGCCTGCTGCACCAGGGCTCCTGCACCAGGTGCCCTGCCCAGGCATTGTGATCACTGGATCTTACTCTGACCAGGGCCCGTTGGTCACCATCTCACAGCCCTTCTCTCCAGCCCACAGCCAGGTTCTAGAACCTCTTCCTCAGGCACACCCAACTATGTCTTTCACCTGCTATGGCCTGAATGTGCACGCCCACCAACATTTGTAGGTTGAAACCTACTTCCCACTTGACAGTGCTAAGAGGCAGGGCCTTTGGGAATGTCATGAGGCTCCACCCTCATGCATGGGGTGAGCATTCTCATAAAAGAGGCTCAAGAAACCTCTGGGCCCCAGTCTGTCACGTGAAGACATAGCTAGAGGGCACTGTCCCCAAGAAATAGGCCCACAGCAAACATTGAATCTGCTGGCAATTTGATCTTGGACTTCCCAGCCTCCGGAACTGTTAGCAAAAAGTCTCTGCTGGTGACAAATTGTGAGACTAAGGTACTTTGTCAGAGTAGCACAAATAGACTGGGACAGGACCCTGCTTTCCCACCTGATACCACCCTGTATAAGCATCAGAATTCTCCCAAAAACGTATGCATCCCTCGGGTTCCCTGAGCCATGGGAACACATGGCCAGGAGACATGCCCTCTGTGTTTCTCATGGGCTCTCAGATGTCCCTGAGATGGGGGCCACAGGGAAGCAAGCAGGTCAAGAATCTATCACCAATTCACAAGAGCCACCCCCAGCAGGATCTCACAAGACGGGAGCAGAGAAAGCTGGGAACAAATCCAGTGAGAAGAAGACACGGGCCAGAATCTCCCACTAACCCTGCCATGACAGGGTCCTGTCTGTGCAGATCCCAGAGCCACCAGAGATCAGAGCTGTTTCTATGGACAAGAGGGATATTGACACTCTGAAGAACAAGTCAATCATTGACCACATCCTGTGCTACCAACCATGTCCACCTCCTAGAACTAATATAGGAGAAACACTCACCCACAAATCTAGGTAACAACCCAGCAGGGACTAAACCTACAAAATTCCTGTGACGACAAGGCCCACTCCTTCCTTGGCAGGGGGAGGGGATGCATGCACATTCTGTGGACATCAGCAGTCTCCCAGGTCACATGCTGGGATCAGCAATGGCAATGTCACACACAGGGTGGGAAATGCCAAGAAAATCAGAGGTCACAGGATCAGTCACTGTGTCCCAGGCCAGCACTGTCCACAATCCCCAGGGCCGTCTGCCCCAGCGAAAAGGGTCACCGTGCCCAGGACCAAGAGTCAGCAGAGACTCGGGAGCCCCAGAACCCCAGTGTTTCCACACACTCCCGCAAGGGTCAAATAAAAGTCAGCATGAGGCCCTTGATTTAGGGCCTTCATGCACTGAGAAGAGGAAGGACAAAGAGAGCCATGGTCCAACCAAGAGAGTCAGCCTGTGAGCACAGGCTGGCCTGGGAGCAGAGATGCATGTGTGGCCCCAGACCAAGGACACCTCGCTCCTCGGGACACCCCCACCTGCCCCTGGCTGCATTTGGAGGATGTTTCCCATCACTACCCTGACCATCCTCCAGCCACCTGTGCAGAGACGCGCGCTCCACAGGCCACGTTTGCATGCAGGAGACAGAGCCCACTGCCCCCAGGACAGCCACACTCCCCAGGGACGCCGGGCACACCGGCAGTAGGAGTTCCTAATGGGAGCACTTCTACTAACAGCCATGTGTGGCTGCTGTGGGTGCCCTGTGGGGACAGGCTCAGGGTACCCCGGCACCGTGCACTGGCGGCGTGGAGGGGCCACTCCACTCTTGCCGACGGCTGCTGCGGCTGCTCACGTCAGCTGGTTAAAGAGGGAGAGCAGTGACCACACCCACCCAATCTGGGCTCCTTCCCTGGCCCTGCCCAGGGCTCCAGAGATTTAACATTTCGCCTTTTGCATCATACGGTTCTAATAGAACAAATAAAACATCATACGTAACGTTCAGATGCATTTCTTCTGGAGGAAAAAAGAGACTCGATGAAAAACAGAAAAACCAGAGGTGAGCCCCACTCGCTCACACCCTTTAGCTTCACTCAGCTGAGGGGTGTGGGCGCGGATGCCGGCCACCAAGGCTGGGACGACTGGAAAGCCCCCAGTCGGCTTTCAGGATGGGGAAGCGGACCCAGTAGCCCTCCCTGCCCACCATTTGGAGGGGCCATTCGGGCCTGCTGTCCCTGCACGCACAGTGGCAGGAGAAGGCGGGACCCACACTAGGGACAGGTTGCCCTGCTCTGTGTGGGGGAAGCACACCTCGAGGCCTGGCGCCCCAACCCCCAGTCCACATGACTGGTCTCACTCTATGGCCCCTCAAGAGCCCCAAATTTCCTTTCCTCTCCCAACCCCAGGCAGGGCACGACTGATGGGCATGAGGGCACAGGTGTGCCACCACATGTGGAGAGACCCAGGCCAGGTGGTGTGACCCCACAGGCCTAGGATGAGGCTGGAGTGGGGGAAAAGCAAGAGCTTGTCCACCTCCTCCCTCCAGGTAAGAGAGGGCCACAGGGAAGGGAGGGCAGGGAATGTTCTAGCAGTCAAACACAGAGTGGAGGAGTGATGCCCTTTGAGCTTGAACATGGAGTCTCCACGTGCCACAAGAAGAGTTCTGTTTCCTTTCCAGCTCCTGCCGGGGGCACTGATGTCAAGGCTAAAGACACAATAGCACACCTGTGCATGGGCCATGTGACCCCACCACTCCACACCCAGAAGGGGTCAGGAACAGCAGTAAGTTTCCAGGGCCTCGGACAAGGCTGGGTGAGCACAGGATGGGGAGGACGTTGCCGTGGAGGGTTCTGGGCGGACCACAGCGGGTCCTAGGAACAGGCCAGGTGCTGGGTAAGCGTCTGGCACCTCTGTAGTGTAACTGGGAACTTGGCAATGAGGTCTCCCTGCTGAGTGCGTACCTTGAGGAAGGGAAGCATCTTTCCGTGGAAACTTTCCACCTCGGCGGCCAAATGGCATTCTCCCAGATCACCAGCATCAGCCACCATCACGGGAGAGAGTGTCCTTTCAGTCAAACACACCACCTTGAGAAAATGAGGCAGAGAGGGAGGAGAAGGCTTGGAGTAGTGGTCACCTGCTGGTGCTGACAAGGACCCTGTGGAGGGCAGTGGCTCCATCTCAGCAGAAGTGTGTAGCTCCTCTCTGTGAGCAGAAGGACAGTGCTGCAGGGACACTTTCTGCCTGGAGACTCCCCTTTTGGTAAGTGACCTGTGGCTCCTTATGGCTGTTCTTTATGAGATCCTGCTGGATCTTGTCCTGGGTGCACCTGGCTGTCCTTCAGGGTTGAGAAGTCCTCTGTGACCTGCCTGTGCTAGGTACAGCCACTGGGGATCCCCTTGGGGACACACATGCTCATGCACATGGGCAGGTCCATCCATTTGGAAGGAGGGTGCAGGGCTCCTGGGCTCATCCTGGACAGCACTCAGCCCACTGCGGTCTTCTACACAAACCACCCAATGTGTCTTCTTTCCCCCTTGTATCCATGTCATCTGCTCTAGGCCATTGAAGGGTATGCAGTGACTGTTGGAAAAGAAAAGCCAGAATGAAGAGGAGCCACCTACAGGAGGCATGGGTTTCCTGGGAGTCTCCAGGAGATAAGTATAGGAAAAACCACTGGAGCCACCGAGGGTCCCTTTACACCTAGTGGGAAGGGAAGGCCAGAGTAGCCAACCTTCATTCAGTTATTACTGTCATGGTGGAATTGCACCATGACTGCCACATTCATTAGTTGTTATTCCTAAGTATTAATAACAAACATCTTTCTCTTCTACCCATTTAGATGGGGCGGAGGCAGGGGAGAATAAAAACGCAAGTATGCAGGAGAGTTGGAGAGTGTGCCAGCCCACCACTACTACTGTGGATTCGAGACTTGCTGTTACTTAGTGGGAAACAATCTGGTAGCATCCTTATTTTTTTGATGGTCATAATGGCCAGTGGGAGCTCCTTCCAAAAGGCTCTGGCCTTCTGGGACACGGCCCCATCAGATACGGAGCTCCATCTCACTTTCCACTACACCAGATGCTACCTGGTCATCTTGTACCTGCCCTGGCACAGCCCCATTGTCTGTCATTTCTCCGTGGACACTGGCTCCCCTCAGTGTACATTGGTTTTTGAGACCAAGGTCTGCTCACAAATCACAGTCATTGCTCTGTCTGTATTTTACACCCCTGGTCCTCTTGGTGCCCTGAGGGAGCAGGCAGGGTCGTGCCCCGGCTCAGTCACTTCCCATGGGGGAGAATGGAAGGGAGACAGGAAAGGAGGGATGAACGGAGCATGGAAGGTCTTGTTTTTAGTGACATCTCTGGTTTGCAAATTTATATGGCCACAGTTTTCTGTTTCCTCATCTTGCAAAAAAGGATAATTTTTTCTAAGTGTCAATTAGAAAATGCCCAGTATTAAAGACAGTTTTGAAGGATTTTATAAAACTTGTAGAAAATGGTGAGGGATGGAAGAAAATCTGCAAATCAACGGCTGCGAATCTCAGCAGTCAGGGAGCACTCCCGCTGGTGTCGGCATCACCAGTGTCTCATCCAGCCTCTGCCCAATCCAGAGGCAGCCAGGAGAGGCTGGGCTGGAGGCTGAAGGCAGCCCCTGACACCCCCAGGTCAGGGGAGTTGGCACCTCCCAAATGGAATCTCTGGGAGAAGGGACTGTCTCCCTGACTGTCTATCCCTCTCTCAGTGCCTGGCACAGAAAGGAGTGCAATGGCACAGCTCCCTCGAGACTACAGGGGACAGCATCTCAGCTGGTGTCTGGCAGAGCCCCACTTCTCTGTGAAACATGTGACTTCATGATATACATAATCCCTCCCTCAGAGATTCAGATCACTTCTAGTGATATTTGTCAAGGCACAGGTGAAAAACTATTAGAAGTATATGACAAAGTGTAAAAAAATACACACAAAAAATAAAAAAATGTACTTTAGGCTTTGGGAAATGACATGTTGGCTGGTTCTCAGACTATGTAGCCAAGTAAAATCCCAACTTGATGTCAAAAGCTATTTCCAGGGCAGGGATTAAACACAAAATGAAAGGCGATGTCAAATGACGCAGTAATCAAGGAACATAATATATTAATGCGATATACATTATACACCCTGATAAATTTTAAAAAATTGTTTTTCAGAGAATGGGTCTAGCTATGTTGCCCAGGCTGGTCTTAAAATCCTGGTCTCAAGTGATCCCCCCACCTCAGCCTCTCAAAGTACTAGGATTACAAGTGTGAGCCACCATGCCCTGCCGTTATTGCAATATTGCTAAAAATCAAGATGAATGCTAAATATTCCATGATGAGCACCACATCAGAATTCTTAGTAAACACAGGATCTGACCCTGTAATCGAAACACTCAGAGTTGTACAAGGGCAGGATGCTTAGAGTGGCATGAAAAAGTAAATTTTGGCAAATTCTGTTTGGCTTCTGAGGTTGTTACCTAAGAAAATGAAACATACTTACCTGCTAAATGTCACAAACAGCTCATACTCACACTGCCAGAAAGGGGTGGGATTTTTTTTTCCCCTGAAGTAATAGGGCTTTCATTATGAAGTTTGGGATCACTTCCAGTTTTGTCTACATGTACAGAAGGCCTCAGAGAAATTCTCAAATTCATCAAAATCAAAGGAGATAACCTCTGTTGACATGTGCCTACGAGGCCGCTATCATCGCTGCTGGCTTTTATATGAGTTTGGCAATAAACAATGTACTCATTGTTTGGAAATGTGACTGTTTCAGATTTAAAGAAAAAAAGATTCACCAGAAAATGGCAGTTCAACTTAAATAGGACTTTACAGAATTCCTTCCTAAACACATAACTGATTTGTAATCCAACTTCAATTTCACAAGTGGAAATTACTTCTATACTGTAAACTTTTTTTCTGAGAAAGAGAGGTTTAACTTATGATGACATCCAATGACCTCCATAATGTTTAAAAGTGCTGGGCATTTGGACATGTGTAGTTTATATGATGAATTTATAGATGCAAAGGACTCAACTGACAGCAGCTGGTTGAGCAAACAAACCTGTAGGAGGGAGGCAGATGGATGTTTTGGAGAGTTGGAATCTGATCCCTACAAGTCTAAAGACCTGCTGTTGCTGGGAATTAACATCCTGAGTATTCCATGCTCAAGCACGTCTGTTAAGACAATATTTATCTCAGTGTCTTCACATTGCATTGACATGAGGACTCTGTTTAACGTGGGCTCGTTAACAGCAGAACAGCAAGTGAAAATGAATGTTATGTTTTACGATGTTGTTTTACTACCACATACAAAAAAAAGAATCCTGTCTCAAAGTCTGCAGGCTGTTCAGAGTACTTTACTCTTTCTGTGTCCTGTTAGGAAAGGAGACAGAAAGAGTAAAATCATCCTCTATGTAATAGACAGAAAGAAACATCATTGCTATGTTTTAATTAATCATAATTAAAATGTTATCTCTTTGATTAGTCCTATTTTAATTTCATTCATAATTCTTACATGCATATTAGAAATGTTTCAGATTCCTAAATGAATTTTAGGAATGCACTTTCATAAGGCCTACTGTAGTTAAAAATCCAACAAAGAAGTTGAAAATGAGTTAAAATAAACTGGTACACCTGAGGACAAAAAGCAACATGATCAAAATAGTTATATATTTCTCACATGTACTGTTTGTTCATTTAGACCTGCTATTCATTACTATCAATCACCACTGTTATCGTGTCCTATTGTTATTTTCTTTAGATGATAGTATTTCTGGACAGAAAAGGAAATATTATATTCATTAATATAAAAACCCATTTATTGGCCGGGCGCTGTGGCTCACGCCTGTAATCCTAGCTCTTGGGAGGCCGAGGGGGGCGGATTGCTCAAGGTCAGGAGTTCAAAGCCAGCCTGAGCAAGAGCGAGACCCCGTCTCTACTATAAATAGAAAGAAATTAATTGGCCAACTGATATATATATAAAAAATTAGCTGGGCATGGTGGCGCATGCCTGTAGTCCCAGCTACTCGGGAGGCTGAGGCAGAAGGATCACTCGAGCCCAGGAGTTTGAGGTTGCTGTGAGCTAGGCTGATGCCATGGCACTCACTCTAGCCTGGGCAACAAAGCGAGACTCTGTCTCAAAAAAAAACAAAAAAAAAAAAGAAAAAAAAACCCATCTATCATATGTTTATGTTAAAGTTAAAACACACATATATAATGATATGTTATAACATATTATTATGGGTTTGGGCTTTTTTTTTCTGGTCTGGTAAGGCTGTGTCAATGCTGTCTATCTGGAAAGGTGATCACTCTCGACCAAAGACCAGACCCAGATCTTAGGTAATCTCTTTCACATTAGGGCTGCACATACTTCCTTGTGTAATAACATTCCAAACAGAAAAATAATGCCACCAGCAAGTCATGCCGGGTCTCTAATACTAACGAGAGAGAACACAAGAATCAAACGACTTTACTCTGTGACTGTAGGGCAGAGGGAGGGCATCAGGAACGAGCGTGTCAGGTTACCAGGCCGCCTGCAATGAGGATGTTGTCCTACCCGCAGAAGAACGTTGTTCTGACATGGTTGAAAGGAAAAGTGGGACTATGATCTAAGGTTTGAAATTATTTAAAAAGGGGGAAATGAGGGTGTTGAGATGAAAACGCTAGTGACCAAGTATATGGTAAGACACTACCGAGGCAGTTGAACCAAGGCAGGTTGTGACATCCGTTATTCCCAACGGCAACAAAGTGACTACGCCACGTGTGGGTCTCCCAGGCGACGGCCTCGACCCGCCTCACTCAGCCGGAAGGCCCCGATACTCCCTAGGTTATCCCGATGGGAGAGGTCCCCCCTTTCCCTGAGTCTGCGTTGGGATTTCTCCCGGGAAAGAATCCCGAATCTGTAAAAACCACCGTGGCGCGCTCTTCTTAGCCCGCGAAGGCCTCCACAAATGCCTCCGTGTGTAAAACTAGTCTCCCTCAATGCTGGAGGACGAAGTAAGAAGAGCACACACTGGCGACACCCAGAAAGGGAAAGGTTCTCGCGTCTTGGCCCCGGCAAAGCTCCCGTGGGGGTCTCAGGGCCGGGGAACAGGAAGCCCTGTACTCACTCTCGCCGCCGCCGGGAGCGGATCCGGGCCTGGGCGCCGCCGCAAACACAGCCCGCTGCTCACCGGGCCCAGCGCACCCCAACCAGGGCCCCGTCTCGCCAGACTGGAGGCGCCAGTTGGGCGCAGCGCGAGGCGCGCGCCCTCTGCCGGCCGTTGGGGCGGGGCGCGGCCCGAGCAGTGCTGCGCCGCCTCGCCGGGGAGCGGTGGCCGCGCGCCCCCTCGCGGCCCGTCACTGAAATGCTCCACCCCCACGCGGGGTCTGCCGCTGCCGGCGCTGGGACGCCGCGCTCCAGCCGTGCCCGGTCCCTTTCCTGGGGCGCGGCTCGGAGCCGCGGCTTCGAAAGCCAGAAAGCCCGCATGCCGTTGTTGCCTCAAATGACAAGACCTGCTTCTAGTTCTCTCGGGAAACAGGAGATAGCATCCAAATCCATAGGACCCACGACACCCGTTCCCACCAGCACATCCTCCAGACCGTCCGCGTGCTGGACAGAGAGGGCTACGGCGACGCCTGGGCGAAAACTCCCGGGGAAATCTCCTTGGTCACAAACAGGAAGATGAAAGAAGAAAATCTCCTGGTTTGTCGCTGTTTGGGAGTTGTTGCGCAGAGGCTCTTCTAAGAAATCGTCCCCATCTGAAGGCACAGACGTACAGTCTCTGCTCAGGAGGTTGTCAGAGGTGACGCTGGAGCGTGCGTTTCGCTCGTTTGACATTCCCCACAGAGAAGCCATAGAGGACGTTATACGTGGGACTCTTTCTACTCAAGTATACAGATTATTGTTTGTTCAGCTCAAAGATCAATCTCTGTGGTTTTCTCCTGAGGCATGATGCTTTTCGGATACTCAACGGCATGCGGGCTTTCTGGCTTTCGAAGCCGCGGCTCCGAGGCGCGTCGCAGGAAAGGGACCGGGCACGGCTGGAGCGCGGCGTCCCAGCGCCGGCAGCGGCAGACCGCGCGTGGGGGTGGAGCATTTCAGCGACGGGCCCGCCCCGCCCCAACGGCCGGCAGAGTGCGCGCGCCCCGCCCCGTGTCCAACCGGCGCCTCCTGCCGGGCCGGACGGGCGCCCTGGGCCCGGTGAGCAGCGGGCTGTGTTTGCGGCGATGCCAGGCCAGGATCCGCTCCCGGCGACGGCGAGAGTGAGTACAGGGCTTCCTGTTCCCCGGCCCTGGGACGCCCACAGGAGCTTTGACAGGGCCCAGAGGTCCCGAGACAGTTTCCTTACACGTTGAGCAAGAACCTTTCCCTTTCTGGGTATCGCCCGTGTGTGCTTTTCTAACTTTCTCCTCCATCTTGGAGGGAGACTTGTTTTCCGCACGCTTGCATTTACGGAGGCTCCGTCCGTCCCTCCTTTCCTGTCTCCCTTCCATTCTCCCCCATGGGAAGTGACTGAGCCGGGGCACCACCCTGCCTGCTCCCTCAGGGCACCAAGAGGACCAGGGGGTGTAAAATACAGACAGAGCAATGACTGTGATTTGTGAGCAGACCTTGGTCTCAAAACCTAATGTACGCCGAGGGGAGCCAGTGTCCACGATGGGGCTGTGCCAGGGCAGGTACAAGATGACCAGGTAGCATCTGGTGTAGTGGAAAGTGAGATGGAGCTCCGTATCTGATGGGGCCGTGTCCCAGAAGGCCAGAGCCTTTTGGAAGGAGCTCCCACTGGCCATTATGACCATCAAAAAAATAAGGATGCTACCAGATTGTTTCCCACTAAGTAACAGCAAGTCTCGAATCCACAGTAGTAGTGGTGGGCTGGCACACTCTCCAACTCTCCTGCATACTTGCGTTTTTATTCTCCCCTGCCTCCGCCCCATCTAAATGGGTAGAAGAGAAAGATGTTTGTTATTAATACTTAGGAATAACAACTAATGAATGTGGCAGTCATGGTGCAATTCCACCATGACAGTAATAACTGAATGAAGGTTGGCTACTCTGGCCTTCCCTTCCCACTAGGTGTAAAGGGACCCTCGGTGGCTCCAGTGGTTTTTCCTATACTTATCTCCCAGCGACTCCCAGGAAACCCATGCCTCCTGTAGGTGGCTCCTCTTCATTCTGGCTTTTCTTTTCCAACAGTCACTGCATACCCTTCAATGGCCTAGAGCAGATGACACGGATACAAGGGGGAAAGAAGACACATTGGGTGGTTTGTGTAGAAGACCGCAGTGGGCTGAGTGCTGTCCAGGATGAGCCCAGGAGCCCTGCACCCTCCTTCCAAATGGATGGACCTGCCCATGTGCATGAGCATGTGTGTCCCCAAGGGGATCCCCAGTGGCTGTACCTAGCACAGGCAGGTCACAGAGGACTTCTCAACCCTGAAGGAAAGCCAGGTGCACCCAGGACAAGATCCAGCAGGATCTCATAAAGAACAGCCATAAGGAGCCACAGGTCACTTACCAAAAGGGGAGTCTCCAGGCAGAAAGTGTCCCTGCAGCACTGTCCTTCTGCTCACAGAGAGGAGCTACACACTTCTGCTGAGATGGAGCCACTGCCCTCCACAGGGTCCTTGTCAGCACCAGCAGGTGACCACTACTCCAAGCCTTCTCCTCCCTCTCTGCCTCATTTTCTCAAGGTGGTGTGTTTGACTGAAAGGACACTCTCTCCCGTGATGGTGGCTGATGCTGGTGATCTGGGAGAATGCCATTTGGCCGCCGAGGTGGAAAGTTTCCACGGAAAGATGCTTCCCTTCCTCAAGGTACGCACTCAGCAGGGAGACCTCATTGCCAAGTTCCCAGTTACACTACAGAGGTGCCAGACGCTTACCCAGCACCTGGCCTGTTCCTAGGACCCGCTGTGGTCCGCCCAGAACCCTCCACGGCAACGTCCTCCCCATCCTGTGCTCACCCAGCCTTGTCCGAGGCCCTGGAAACTTACTGCTGTTCCTGACCCCTTCTGGGTGTGGAGTGGTGGGGTCACATGGCCCATGCACAGGTGTGCTATTGTGTCTTTAGCCTTGACATCAGTGCCCCCGGCAGGAGCTGGAAAGGAAACAGAACTCTTCTTGTGGCACGTGGAGACTCCATGTTCAAGCTCAAAGGGCATCACTCCTCCACTCTGTGTTTGACTGCTAGAACATTCCCTGCCCTCCCTTCCCTGTGGCCCTCTCTTACCTGGAGGGAGGAGGTGGACAAGCTCTTGCTTTTCCCCCACTCCAGCCTCATCCTAGGCCTGTGGGGTCACACCACCTGGCCTGGGTCTCTCCACATGTGGTGGCACACCTGTGCCCTCATGCCCATCAGTCGTGCCCTGCCTGGGGTTGGGAGAGGAAAGGAAATTTGGGGCTCTTGAGGGGCCATAGAGTGAGACCAGTCATGTGGACTCGGGGTTGGGGCGCCGAGCCTCAAGGTGTGCTTCCCCCACACAGAGCAGGGCGACCCGTCCCTAGTGTGGGTCCCGCCTTCTCCTGCCACTGTGCGTGCAGGGACAGCAGGCCCGAATGGCCCCTCCAAATGGTGGGCAGGGAGGGCTACTGGGTCCGCTTCCCCATCCTGAAAGCCGACTGGGGGCTTTCCAGTCGTCCCAGCCTTGGTGGCCAGCATCCGCGCCCACACCCCTCAGCTGAGTGAAGCTAAAGGGTGTGAGCGAGCGGGGCTCACCTCTGGTTTTTCTGTTTTTCATCGAGTCTCTTTTTTCCTCCAGAAGAAATGCATCTGAACGTTACGTATGATGTTTTATTTGTTCTATTAGAACCGTATGATGCAAAAGGCGAAATGTTAAATCTCTGGAGCCCTGGGCAGGGCCAGAGAAGGAGCCCAGATTGGGTGGGTGTGGTCACTGCTCTCCCTCTTTAACCAGCTGACATGAGCAGCCGCAGCAGCCATCGGCAAGAGTGGAGTGGCCCCTCCACGCCGCCAGTGCACGGTGCCGGGGTACCCTGAGCCTGTCCCCACAGGGCACCCACAGCAGCCACACATGGCTGTTAGTAGAAGTGCTCCCATTAGGAACTCCTACTGCCGGTGTGCCCGGCGTCGCTGGACAGTGTGGCTGTCCTGGGGGCAGTGGGCTCTGTCTCCTGCATGCAAACGTGGCCTGTGGAGCGCGCGTCTCTGCACAGGTGGCTGGAGGATGGTCAGGGTAGTGATGGGAAACATCCTCCAAATGCAGCCAGGGGCAGGTGGGGGTGTCCCGAGGAGCGAGGTGTCCTTGGTCTGGGGCCACACATGCATCTCTGCTCCCAGGCCAGCCTGTGCTCACAGGCTGACTCTCTTGGTTGGACCATGGCTCTCTTTGTTCTTCCTCTTCTCAGTGCATGAAGACCCTGAATCAAGGGCCTCATGCTGACTTTTATTTGACCCTTGCGGGAGTGTGTGGAAACACTGGGGTTCTGGGGCTCCCGAGTCTCTGCTGACTCTCGGTCCTGGGCTCGGGGACCCTTTTCTCTGAGGCAGACGGCCCTGGGGATTGTGGACAGTGCTGGCCTGGGACACAGTGACTGATCCTGTGACCTCTGATTTTCTTGGCATTTCCCACCCTGTGTGTGACATTGCCATTGCTGATCCCAGCATGTGACCTGGGAGACTGCTGATGTCCACAGAATGTGCATGCATCCCCTCCCCCTGCCAAGGAAGGAGTGGGCCTTGTCGTCACAGGAATTTTGTAGGTTTAGTCCCTGCTGGGTCGTTACCCAGATTTGTGGGTGAGTGTTTCTCCTATATTAGTTCTAGGAGGTGGACATGGTTGGTAGCACAGGATGTGGTCAATGATTGACTTGTTCTTCAGAGTGTCAATATCCCTCTTGTCCATAGAAACAGCTCTGATCTCTGGTGGCTCTGGGATCTGCACAGACAAGACCCTGTCATGGCAGGGTTAGTGGGAGATTCTGGCCCGTGTCTTCTTCTCACTGGATTTGTTCCCAGCTTTCTCTGCTCCCGTCTTGTGAGATCCTGCTGGGGGTGGCTCTTGTGAATTGGTGATAGATTCTTGACCTGCTTGCTTCCCTGTGGCCCCCATCTCAGGGACATCTGAGAGCCCATGAGAAACACAGAGGGCATGTCTCCTGGCCATGTGTTCCCATGGCTCAGGGAACCCGAGGGATGCATACGTTTTTGGGAGAATTCTGATGCTTACACAGGGTGGTGTCAGGTGGAAAGGCAGGGTCCTGTCCCAGTCTAT